GAAAGATGAGCTTTTGTTCAAGATTTTTACGGCTTTCCGTGCTACCTAAGTGTAAGGAAAGACCGCAGATTGCCATATTGTGGTCTTTCCTTACACTTAGGTAAAAATCTTGAACAAAAGCTCATCTGTCAAATCGGCAGTCTAAATCCCACAGGGATCAACGAATGCTTTTCATTCCACTAATTTGTTCTTGTTTTTCTCGTTGCCATGTTCCCACCAATAACGTAGCTCCATTTTCTGCCTTTAAAAGCACACACAACCCACAATTCCTCTATTCGCTCCGACGAAGGGCTAACGCTCGAAACGTCAGCTTTTGTAATCGTTACGGTGGCCAATTTACCATTTCAACTTTGTTGATATATCCAAATTAACTCCATTCTTGTTACCAATCTCTTTCGCTGCTCTTAATTTGGCATACCAATTGCGTTATCTGATGTTTTACATTAAGATTGTTCTGAAAAGGATCAGGGGTGTCAACAGTGATAAAGATTTCAAAAATCTGAGAGGAAGTCATCAATTTAGGCAAACCTTCGTTCCATATAAGTTTACTTCTTTGTCCAAAATTCTTGCGGTCAGCTGTGTTGTCATGGTAGAATTAAAGCAAGTCACCATAATAACGCCTAATACAATCCAAGTTAAACACACCAGGCGACCAAACGGAGTCCTTGGAATCCGATCACCGTACCTACAGGAAAGAATGAGAACAGTTGCGAAATTCGACTTGGACAGATCGACCAAATAGTGTAATGTTTTCAACAAACGGTACAACAACTTGTCCATTCGTTGTATATGTTATGTGCATCTGATCTGTTCACGAGTCGATCAGCCTGATCGTTCAGCGACTCTATTGGTTTGACGTTCCAGCCGTCAATCGGTCAGATATTAGGGACCATAAGCAACCAAGACGGCGACGGCGACGGCGACGGCAACGAGGACGTGGAAAAACAAGAGATCTAATTGGCAGAACAATAGCTCAGCGCGTGCATTTTGAAACTTTGTACATTTCTTAGCCGTCCTATGCAAAACAACTGCGTGAAATCGCTAAAATTTGTGTCGTCTGCGAACCGAAACCGCGACGGCAAATTATTTCAATTTCTATTTGGAACTCAACGCTGCTTTTATACGTCATGCTGAAGTTGAGCTGTGGCTTCGTATGAGACGGTAAGCTCATGCAGCCATTTTTAAAATTCTAACTACGAGTAGAAATTCATTTTTTAATCGAAGTCTTCCTTGGCGTTGCCGTCCTGACTGCTGAAGGTCCCTATTCTGTTTGTCGGTCCGTCAGTCTTTTTATCAGTTCCTCTGTCCGCTAGCCAGACAGTCAATCAGTCCGTCACGCACGCGGTTGGTTAGTCAGCACGTCAATCCAACAGGCAATCAGTCCGTCACGAACGCGGGTGGTTAGTCAGCACGTCAATCCAACAGGCAATTAGTCCGTCACGCACGCGGTTGGTTAGTCGGCACGCAATTCAACAGGCAATCAGTCATTCCGGCATTCACTTGCTCACTCGTTCGCCCATTTATTGGTTGGTCCTGTCCTCTGTCGTCTATTCATTAATTAAATTCAGCAGTCATAGTCATCTTACCCAAGAGTTGTCATGGAAGCAAACGCCCACCACATTGCTTCCCAACTTCCTTGTAGAATATTGCGAGGAAAGTGGCGCTCATTGGCTGCAGTTTCCTTTGGAAGTAAAATAGAACACATTTTGTCTGGAGAAGTATGGAAAACGGTTCGTGTTGTTTCTTCTACCAAAAAATTCAAAACAAACTTTTTCATCAGGCTTTGATATATTTTATGCTTTATGCCGTTTCTTCTCCCCCAAAAGGGAGAAGAAATGACAAAGTATAAAGTTGCATTTGTACACAAATGGCACACGATGACGAAGAAATTACTCACCACAAACCACAGGGCCAGACTGGACACCCATAACATGGCAATGGACAGAAACAGTATTGGAAAACAAAAGGCAAGTGACTTGAGCAACAGAGTTGCAGCAGTTCCCTTTTCATCCCCGATGATGATTAGTGCCAAGCCTGGGGACTGGACGAAAGGAACAAAGCCGTAATTGTTGGAAAACCGAGTCTGATCCATAAAGCCATAAACTGGAAAATGAAGCTCGGTGTCTTCCTCAAAGCTGTTCTTGAATTGAACAAGCCCTCATTTCGTTGCAGGACGCCGAGAGGCCGCGTGTTCAAAGTCTATTCCTGAGGTTCCATACTCAGAGCAGTTTCCGCAGCAGGATTTCACAGATTCTTTCAGTATAGGTGTGATGATACCGCTCTTGTTGGAATCTGAGCTGTCAACGTAGGGTGGGTTGATCCACCAATTAGAGTAGATAGTGCTGTAACAGTTGCACGTTTCTGGAAGGAAAAACGAGAGGATAAAAGTGTTTTTGAGTTGATCAGCAGGAATTGAATGGGGATCGGATTTACTTCTAAACAGCTTTGAATTTCCTACGCCTCCTGACAGTATGAAAAAAAATCTGCTTTGCGAAACCCTCGAAATTACATTTTTAGAATGTGATAGATAGTATTTGGCCTGCTTATTAAATACGAGTATAGAAATGATAGTCTAAGAGTGAGTTGTAATGACAGAATTTGCGGAAAGCAAGCCTGAAATGACGTATAGATTGCATAGGCACACAGGCCTGCAGAGGAAGAATAAATCAATTGTGAAATACCTGCTCTAATAGGTTCACTCTTCACCCCGTCTCCCTTGATGGTAAATGCCAGAACCTCGATTTCATATCGAGTGTATGCATCCAAATTTTCGAGATCAGCAAACAAGCTTGATCTTGACACTGTCACTACTTTTGTTTGCATCTGCTCGTCGGGCGTCTCGTCCCCAATGGCTACTGCTCTGTACAGTACTCTGTAACCACGTAGTATACCATGGACGTAAAATGTATCCGGGATTGGTTTCCACTGTACTTGGATTTTTGTGGGACTCGTCTTGTTCATCGCTTGAACATTGACAGGAGATTGACTGGGAACTAGTGCAAGAAAGAAAGGCGTGCAATCATCACTTGAGGTGAGAGACTCGCTTAAGAGACTGGTATATCAAAAGATAATGCCAGAGACTGAAATTTTTTTCAATTAAAAGAAAATAAGACTGAAGAGAGAAGCTTCGAGAGAAACTTCGATTGTAGAAGAAAATTGTTCTGTCAAGCGTTTAATTATCGCTTTTCGAGCGGTCAGCGAGCCAGGAGCGGTTAGCATGTGTCATTATTCATTATGCTCAATAAACTTCTAATATTTTTTCGAACACTGATCATAAATGGCTTCTTCTAAAGGCAAAGAGTAGCTAGGAAAGGAAAAAGAGAAAGAGTAATTTAGGACAGTTTTTCTCCTGTTTTAAAGATGGTTTCTCGCGGCTCTATTTCTTGGAGCCACGGGTCGGTATCAACTTATCAGGAGACTATCACCTTTTTCCATATTGTAACCTTTTGAACGGACAGAAATCAAATCAAACAAAGTACATCACGGGAAAACCATTTTGCCAAAAGCTGTTCTTTTTTTTTTTGTTAGAACTAGAGCATGTGTGATTTTCGCTCGCCTTGGCGGGCTGAAAATCACATTCACATTAGGAGAAACTGATCACTGATACAGAATATATTAGGGGAACATCGATAAATAGACACTCATATAATATCCGTCTGTTTCACCTGTCTATGAAACCCCCGAGAAAAATGCACCTTAAAAAAGTTAAGTGGATCTAAATTTGAGACAAAAACTCACTGTGTTCATCAGTTGAGACTTCAATCTCTTCGCTCACGGCGCCTTCACCAGCAGACGTGAAACCAAGAATCTGTATTTTATATTTGGTGTAAATCCACAGATCTTTCAAATAGACGGAATGTTCTTCAGGAAGAAGTTCTCTCTTCTCATACGTGTCACGTGACTCGTTGAATCGCCAGAAGAGTACTCTAAAGCCCAATAGTATACCATGAACGGAGTTAGGTGGAATGTGACTCCATTCCACCAAGAGACTTGTGTGGCTTGTGTTCCGAGCTTTCAAGGTTATTACAGGTTTGCTGGGAACTTAAATAACAAAAATGTCCTACTTTAGCTATGGTTTATCTCGGCTGGTCAAGAAGTGAAGTAAAAAGTCTCATGCAAACCAGGCTAGATCGTGTTGTGCGCTAATTGCCAATTTCGCGATCACGCGAAATCCTCGGGACACCCGGTTTATTTACATGGAAATAAAAGGCGAATACAAGCATTGTTATAAACAGTTTTCAGAGAATAGTATCCAAACAATACCTTCAATTACTGTTACTAAAACGACAAAAGAATAAGACGAATGAAGGCTTCCAATGCCTGCACGAGTTGAGTTCAGTAAATTAACGTAGACCTACTTATCGATACTTTAATTTGATCATCATCATGTGGTCTTTGTGTTTCCAACTTTTCACTTGCTGGAGAAAAAATTACTGCGCCGAAGACCTACTTATTTATATATAAGTGAACGCACGAGATAAACGTCATTGAGCAGGAAGTTCAAATGATACCTGTTAGCCTTCTATATGTTATGCAAGTGTTTTTTCGTTTAATTTGATCAGACTGATTTCTAAACATAGAAAAGAAAACACGACGAAGAAAGGTACAACTTTGAAAATTAGCTGAGGCAAAACGAATCACGTAACTTACCATCTTCACTTGTCCGTATCACTAAGGGCTGTGGAGGTAAAGGGCCTTGTCCTTTACTGGTATACCCGGCCACTCCTATGTTGTACCACGTAAATTTCTTCAAGTTCTTGAGGGTAGTTGAAGTCCTTGAACTGTGGACTATCTGATGCGAGACTGCCTCATAAATTCCTTTAGGGAAATATGAAATATTGTAACCTAAGAGAATACCATTCCAGTGTTGTGGAGGGATATGTTTCCACTCAACAAAAAGAGAGGTGGAGCTGCTCTTGAAACCAGTGACGTTGCCAGGGAAGGCATTGGGTCCTGCAGAAATAAACATAGATTTCAGAAAGTCTGCTGAAAGATTTTTAAATTCTATGATTTGCAGTTACTGTCTTTGGGTGCTTGTCTCTCTGCTGGAAATATAGACTGAGCAAAACTGCACAGAAATCTCTTATGATATTACTGTCCAATAATTGTTGTTGTAGTCAAAAACATTCAAAGGCGACATGGTATGAATGAGTTTTCCCTAATTGCTTCACAAAGCCATGGTCCCTTTTGGAGAAGGAAACTTGACAAAAAAAATTTCTGCTGTTTTCCCATCTTTATCTCCGAAGACAACTTACAGACGGAAATTCATCGTGTAAAACTAGGAGCCCTTTATCTGGAACGTTCAACTGCCCTTTGCTTATGTCACGGCGTTTTCACAGACAAGTCTATTTTTAGTTTGAATTCACGGCGAACTGGGATTCCCACGGAAGCCCTTCGACCCATCACGATTAGCGCGTAGTTAATTTATAACTTGACTCGTTATTACAACGAAAGCAAAATGGCAGAGAGATGCGAGGAATCTAGTGACAGTTCCAGTGCAGATTCGTATGAAGATTTTGAAATTACTTCGAGTTCGAGTAGCCTATTTCGCAGGAAAAGATAGTGTAAAAATATACCGTTCTGTGAAAATGACCGTGACATGCCTGGTAAACTTGCTAGGCTGAATGCGGCTTAAAACAGTGATCATCTTACTATCTTCATCTGTGGTCACTGCCATGCATTTGCTCTCAATTCCGCTTCCTTTGCTGGTAAAACCTTCAACAGATACCATATAAACCGTAAACTTGCGTAAATTGGCAATAACCGCTGACGTTGCTGACTGGTTGACAACAGCTTCACTCCATGATCGATTGCTCGAGGCATCTGCTGTTACGTAAGATACTTTATAACCCTGGAGAACACCGTGCACATAGCGACGGGAGATTGGGCTCCATCGGATCACAATGCTTGTGGATGTAAGGTTGTTGCCTGTAACATTTTCTGGAGGCCGGCTGGGTACTGAAAGATAGTGAGCAAGGAACATAAAAAGACTATTGTAGAAAGTTGAAATTATACCAATGAAAACGAGACTTAATTCTCAAGAATTTTGTTCCTAATTTTCCATTTTCTGGGTTGGACCGAGAAAGTTAAAGGCCGCCCTAAGAATGACAAAGGAAGTTGAAATTGAGGAACAGGTCCTTAATTCAGCTTCGAAAT